TCGTACATGATTGCAGGGTACGTTTTACAGTTTACCCCCTCCTATGATATGTTGTAATAGTATTCTCACTAATGATGATAATGTATCAATATTCTTGTGCTTGCAGTTTTTATGAATTTAGTTCCTTTTGTGATTGAGTCTATATCCTTCTTCGGTGCAGGTCGAATATAATGTTGAAGAGTCTTGCAGTGCCGCTAGTACAGCTAGTGACAGGTGCTTAGACAACCAATGGGCAATGGTTACTATGCCAGCTGGTGGTTATGTCGTCTATGGTGTAGCCCATCAGCACACAGGGGGGCTTGGTTCAACTCTATATGGAGAGGTGTTTTTTTTCTTCCACTTAAAATAATTTGGTTTCTGCTAGGCCTTGCAATATTGTCTTGCAGCATTGGTAGAACTCGAAATTCTTAGATAACCGTCTCTACTTACTGGCATATGGCTTTACCATATTCCTGTATGTACTGAGGCTTGCATGCATTACCAAGTAAAGTTTTTGCAACCGGACTGCAACAATTCACATCTTCCCTCCTGGCCATTTGCTAGTTTTCTTTAAGCACTGCATCGTGATCTCTTCCTGTACTTTATTTCTAGTCAAGATTTTTCATTGTATGCCAGGCTAAATTGGACTGTTCCTTGTCTCTCTTTCATGTTTGCCTTCATGCATGTGTGAAAAGCATGTCTGATATTTCCATACTGCTATATAATATTGTACTACAAGGCTTTTGAACTTGTGGTAATCTGTTGTGTTAAATCAATCTGCTTTTTTGTGGTGAATTTTTTTTTAGGATGGAAGGATTCTATGTTCTTCAATACCAATTTATGGAAAAGGAAAGGAAGCTGGAAATGAGGCCGGTTATATTGTAGGAATGTCCACTTGTTATCCTCAACCAGGCTCTGTCAAAATAAATGACGGGGAGACTCTGATTGTGTTATCTAACTATAGCAGCGCACAGACTCACACAGGAGTTATGGGTCTCTTCTACATTTTGGTTGCAGACACCCTGCCAAAGTCATCCTTGCTTAGCTTGGACGCTCCACTCTGAGTAATCTACACTTAAAAGTAAGGTTAGCCGATCCAAATAAGCGTTTAAGATTGCTTATCACCGAAACGCCAAATTCGTTAGTCTACTTACATGGTTTTGTTCTTGCAGAATTTGCAGTGGTATTAGCTGAAGCTGCTGGTGTCCGCCATCAAGAGCAATGAGGAAGTATTTGGCGATGGCTATAGGAGGTTGATTTTGGTGTCAACTTTTATGTACCAAAAAATGTATGCGTCTTGAATCTACTTCTCACTCAGCACTGTGATATGTAGACATACGTAACCTATGTACCCTTTTGGTATGGCAATAATTTTACCTTCGTGTTCATGTGTTTGGTCAAATGTAATGAATTAAGGCTCAGATTCAGTCTGTTCAATATAGAGCCTCCCCCACAACCTCTCGTTTTTGTGTGTGCGCGTGTAACGTGTTTGTGGTGATGATAGGAGTAGTTGGGGTTGGGAGCATGACATCAAAGGGGTTTTTTGGGTAGATTTTATCTAAACCAAGAGCCCCTATTTTGGTAAGAACAAACAATATACTTTGAATACGTACGTTAGTATTTTCATACTGTTACAAATTACTCCATTGAATACATGCGTTAGTATTTTCATAATCCCATGGAAATACCTCAAAATGTCACACAATTATATTCCAAAATTTGGAACTAAGAAATATTATAAATTCCAAAATTTCCCCAACCCTTTCCTTTCACATTGAAATCTATTTGAGTCTCAAAGTGTGTATTTTTTACAATACGATTTTCTAAACTACTCTTTAAAAAATGGAATTAAACTCAGTGCAGGAGACGGACACACTGCGTACATCTTTCAGACTCACAGTATATGTCTAACCCAAAAAAAAGACACATGATATCTTTTAAAAAATATATATAAAAAATTGGGATTCTTATGCCAGAGGTGTTGAATTGAAAAATTATAGAAAAAAGAGACAGAAAGTAAGAAATCTCACCATCCTTTGGGAAAAAGAAAACTGAAAATCCTAAAAACTAAAGAAAATAAAACGTGGAGGAGTGAAAGGTGATCAGACACGAGGAAGAATATCCACGTCCATTCCAGAGCGATCCTTCCCCGTCTCTCATATATCTTTGGCTCTTCCCCACTTCACCTCCTCCTCCAATTTCCACTGCAGATAATATATTAAGGGCACTGGGCAGTTATAATCTGTGTTACCGGTACGCTCTTAATTGCCATTAAATCCAATCCAACCCAATCACCCAACATTGAAGAAGATGAGGCCCCATCTCTCCCAACCCTCATTTCATCGTCTTGTTTCTATCTTCTGTGAACGGTGAGGACTGAATTGTTGTGAATTCATGATCCATACCCAAAAACGAATCAACCCATTTGCCCAAAACCAGCATCTCCTTCCTTCCCTGTGCCTGGTGATTGATTTGGTTCCCATTGAAGGTTGAAGAAGACGAAGAATTTGAAGAAAAGGAGAATTGGGTTCTTATGTCAGGGGCAAAGCCGGCCTCTGAGCATGTCGGCTTCCCCAACGGGGACGCGAACAAGCCCAGTGCTGACGGCTGCTGCAACCCAGTGAAGAAAAGCGGACCCATTTCCATGGATCACGTTCTTCTGGCCTTGCGCGAGACCAAGGAGGAGAGAGAGATCAGACTTCGAAGCCTTTTCAATTTCTTCGATGCTACGAATCTTGGGTACTTGGACTATCCCCAGATCGAGGCCGGGTTATCGGCGCTTCAGATTCCGCCGGAGTACAAGTACGCCAAGGATCTTCTGAAGGTTTGCGATGCCAACAGAGATGGAAGGGTAGATTATCTCGAGTTCCGAAGGTACATGGATGACAAGGAGCTCGAGCTGTATCGGATTTTTCAGGCCATTGATGTTGAGCACAATGGCTGCATTCTGCCTGAAGAACTTTGGGATGCTCTTGTCAAGGCTGGTATGCCCAACCAACCATACTTTCTCCTTCTAAATTACTCATAATCTCTAACTCTGTTATGCTAGTTTCTATGTTAATAATGAGGGTATATTCATTGGCCTGGACCCGTGTAGACTGTAGAGCATTGATTTCATAGGATCTTTATCTGTCAAATGGTTAGAGGATCTTGTTGCTGCTGCTGCTTTGAGGCATTATTTATAGTATTGCTATGGCTGTGATATGACTTACACTAGGGAACATTTTTACCTTTGTGTTCTGCATTGAGCTTGATGGGAATGTATAGATGTGAGCGTAATATAAATTTGCACATCTGTCTAAGATAATGAGAAAGTGGGAGCATTTCCCTTTTCATAGCCTTCAATTGAGCAGCTTTTTCATTTTCCATCTTATAAGCCCTGGCAGTTTTTGTTTTGTAGGGATTGAAATGGATGACGAGGAACTCGCCCGTTTTGTAGAGCATGTTGATAAGGATAACAATGGAATTATAACTTTTGAAGAATGGAGAGATTTTCTTCTACTTTATCCACATGAAGCAACGATTGAGAACATATATCATCACTGGGAAAGGGTATGCCTTGTGGATATAGGAGAGCAGGCTGTTATTCCAGAAGGAATTAGTAGGCATGTTCATAGGAGCAGATACTTTATTGCAGGGGCTATAGCAGGTGCCGCTTCTCGTACTGCTACTGCTCCTCTTGATCGCTTGAAGGTGGTTTTGCAAGTTCAGACAGCACGTGCTTCTGTAGTTCCCGCTATAAAGAAGATATTGAAGGAAGACGGTATCCTAGGGTTTTTCCGAGGTAATGGAATAAATGTTGTGAAGGTAGCACCTGAAAGTGCTATCAAGTTCTATACTTATGAAATGTTAAAAAAGGTCATTGGAGATGGTATGGGGGAAGACTCGGGAGATATTGGTACTTCGGGTAGACTTTTGGCTGGTGGTATAGCAGGTGCAGTGGCACAAACTTCTATCTATCCGTTGGATCTTGTGAAAACTCGATTACAGACTTGCACTTCAGAAGCTGGAAAGAGTCCTCAGTTGAGGACGTTAACTAAGGAAATATGGATTCATGAGGGACCCCGGGCCTTCTATAAAGGTCTGTTTCCGTCTCTTCTTGGGATTATCCCCTATGCTGGCATCGACCTGGCAGCCTATGAGACCTTAAAAGATATGTCAAGGACGTATATTCTTCAAGATAGTGGTACAATTATCTGGTTTTCCATTTTTTGTTTTAAATTTTCACTCTCCTTTCTTTATCTTTTTCCTCTATGGAATATTTTTTGTACCTTTAGTTTGTAGAATTGCATTTTAAAATCTTCACTTCGATGCAGAACCTGGTCCTCTAATCCAGCTGGGCTGCGGGACAATATCTGGAGCTCTAGGAGCAACATGTGTTTATCCATTGCAGGTTATCCGAACCAGGTACAATTTCATGGCTGAAGCCTACTACTGTGGTTATTTATTCTTTTTAGTGAGGGGTGCCTATCCAAATTACTTTATTTTTTCACTTCATCTTAAGTTTTGCTATTTGCTTTTGCGGTTGTGTTTAATATATTATTTCTTTCCAGATTGCAAGCTCAACGTTCTAATACAGCTGCTGCTTATAAAGGAATGTCTGATGTATTCTGGAGAACCCTTCAGAATGAAGGCTATACAGGTTTCTACAAGGGATTGTTTCCAAATCTTCTCAAAGTTGTGCCAGCCGCAAGCATTACATATATGGTATATGAAGCCATGAAAAAAAAACTAGATCTGTAGTGAGTTGGTAACTACATTGATATTGTAGTTAGAAATTGTAAGGGAGTTGATGATGAAGAAAAAGAAAAAGATATTACTAGTTAAGTAGGCGATATGATTGTTATATGACAGATGGTTTCCCCCTTCAGGATATGGGGCAAAGGATTTTCAATTTTGTAGTCAGAAAGTCTTTTCCGGGATTTATGGAAACTTACCATTGAGAAACCAGGTTACAGCCCATTTTGAATTTCTTAGCAAAGGTGGTAGGTATTATCTTGTTCCTTTTTCCTCTGTATTTGTTGACTATATCATTAATGAATACAGAAAATTTATAAGTTTCTGTTCTTCCCCCTTTGTTATATTGTTGCTTTGCTATCAGGATCTTTTTGCACGATTTACAGCAAGATTTGAGTGGAACATAAGGCTATTCTCTATACTAATCCATATGTGGTGAGAATTAACTGAGTTTCATATGTGATCAGTAGATATTGCAGCTGTAATATCTAGTCCGTACTGTACCTCTGCATGATGCAGTTACAGGATAAGCATATGACCGTACACGGCGTGCCCCAAGGCGCTGTGCCTGCTTGCGTTCATAATGCATGTAGTATCTATGTTTCATTTAGCCACCGCTTGTGATACTTGCCTTGAACGCAGATTCTTATCATGTTTAGGTAATTGATAAGATTTGGAATTTGTGATCCCAAGTCATATATAGAAGATTTGATATTTGATGCTGAAAGATCAGCTTTGATTTTATTTAGGTTGATATTCTGTGTGCGAAATTTTTTTTAAAAGGTATCTTAGATGATTTGGAATGTGTTCATGAGTGTCTACAATTCTTTTGATTAGCTGTTTACCTGTGTTGCACAGTAAATTTGTGATGTCTAATGCGAAAAGAAACTCAGAGGAACAGATGAGAGATAAAGAAGAAAACAGTGCAAAACCAACGAACTGGAGTTTATTCAATTCTTTCCAAATTGGTTTTTCTGAACTGAGAGACAGCAATTGGCCTTGAAGAGCAGCCATCAATTGGCACATGAGACCCACAAAAGCCAGAAACAAATCTAACCCAATTGCACAATTGCTTCTTTAGCTACTGGAAGGAATTTGAGCCATCAAAATAATTAACAAAGAGCAGAAGTGAGGAAGCTGCATTAACATAACCTACGATTACATAAAGAGTTTGACATGTGAAATAACAAATCCGGAAGAAAGGCTTGACCTTCCCTTTGCCTCAATGACTTGCCTGTGACCCCTTCACATCCCACTAAGGGAGGAAGAGGCTGATATTGTTGACCAAACGTGTAGAAATTCTACTCAAATTCATCATCTTCATCCTCTTTTTCCTCCACATTTTGTGTCTGTGCCAGAGAGAGCTTGTTAGGTTAAAATGGCAGTGAAGTGTTTTTAGCTGTTGCTTCAAGTGTATGTATATATAGAGGTATAAACTTCCCAACCAGGTGACTTCGGCGGTGGCATCCTGAATTTTTAAATTATAATGGAGATGGATGGAAAGGAAAAGAAGACAAAAGCAAACAG